TCAGATTCTTCATTTCTCAGCCAAATCCCAAGCTTTGATCCAAGTAAGTGACCTACTTTCTTTATTTTTCCGTTTTAGAATGCATGATTCCTGGAAATTGTAGATGTTTTAGGACCGTTAGCGTTGGGTTAGCCTGGTAAACTCGTGTTTTGCCCGACAGATTCATGTCTAGGGCCGGCAAACGCATACTTGTGGCCGACACATTCATAGTTTTAGGTGAAAAACCTCAGAGCTGCCCGGGGTCTTCATGATCCTGGGCGCCTGATTCATGACGGTGCCCGATATGTTTATGGTCGTGGCCGTGGGCTTCATAATGCGGCTCGCCGTGTTCATACCTCGGGTCGACATGCTTGAAGAATGGCCGCGCAGTTGGTTTGAGGAAGAACACTGGGTTTAGGAGAGTCGGGGAGGCATCCACTTATGAAAATGGGCTTGTGTAGTAGTGTATGGACGACATGATTATGTCGAGCATAGGACTTCATGCTCAATCTGATTGGTTTCCCGTGCTCTGCAGGTAACCATGGCGGATGAGCCGAGCTCCTCCGATCGTCGTGATAGCGAAGAACAGAGTGCCGACGAGTCGGCCACCCTTATAGATACCGTGACCGACCCATCGCTGGAATGGGTGGGTGCCGAGCCTCGGGGGACGGCGTCGATATACAGTCGGGATGACCGACATCCATTCACCGCTATTGAAGAGGGGCAGGACCAGCCCGACTTCCAGCAGAATTTCGTGGTCATGCTTCCGTCGACCAATGCAAGAATTTGTTCAATGTACCCGGACTACAGCTTTGCGATGTACGAGATCGCGTTTAAAGACTTAGGGCTGCGGCTGCCGTTCACAGATTTTCAGACCGGGGTCTTTACGCATTTGGAGCTGGCCCCGTCCCAGCTACACCCAAACTCTCTCGCCTTCATCCGGGCGTTTGAGCTGACGTGTCGCTACTTAAGGATAGGGGCGACCATCCCTCTTTTCTTTCGGGTATTTCACCTGCAGCGTCAGTCCCGAGGAGGGAAGCACAGCTGGGTGTCCCTGAAGCAGTCGAGGAGATTGTTTAGGATGTATATGGACTCCGTGAGGGGGTTCAAGGACAAGTGGTATGTGGTCCGCCCTATTACCGACTCTGTTGTAGATTCCCTCTTCGAGGAGGAAGGGCCGGTCAGCGATGATGACGGGGAAGCAATGTTGGCCGACGACGGGAGCCCCGTGTTAGGTCGTAGGGCTAAGTTCCCGGTGTACTGGATGTCTCGACACTACGAGCATGGAACAGGTTATTTCCATACCGCAGTCGGGGATATGTGCACGGAAGACCAGCGGGCGTACGAGGCTCTTTGCCGGTTTGTCGACAGTTTTCATCCCGCCCAGTGGGTTACGCGGGAAGGGAATGATATCCTCGACAAGGACGGTTACCCGACGTTCGAGTCTCGCCCGATCGACACCAAGGCGCTGGTGGAATGTTCGACATATAGGCAGGCAGCCCGCCTGTTAGGTTGTTTGCTTGAAATTCTTTATGCGTCGTTTATTTACGCGGTTTGCTCGATACTGACTTTTCCTTTACTTCGTGCAGGTACGATGGCCAGCCGACATGAAAGGCTCCTGAAATTATCAACCGGCCAGAGGCGAGGCAAAAGGGTCGTGCAGGCCCCGCAGACGACGAGAATGGGACCACCACCAAGTCTGAACGCTCCTCAGCCGGTGAGGGTGGATTCGACGTCGAGCTCGGGAGCAGCGTCAGATCCAGAGGTCGAGGAGATTGACCCCAGGGCCGTTTTGACGCAGAGGAAGAGGACCCGCGTGGAAGGCGGTTCGACTGTCGGGGAAGATGCCGGCGCTGTTCAATCTTTTGCCTTCCCCCCTTGCTTCGAAGAGGCGGGCTTTTTCGAGCGGTTCCCTTCGACAGTGGTCGCTCATGAAGCTGAGGCCATCAAGAGGATGACTAAAGAGGAGAGGAAGTCGTATCTGGCCGCCAGCGTGGACGGGCTGGTTAAAGATCTCAATATCTTCTCAATAATTACTTGTTCAGAAAGAGTTTCTCCACAAGATTTCATCTCATTAGTGATCAAAATCACTCTAGATATGTATTCAGAAACCTTCTCGTTGTCCTTCATGTTGAGATTCTCATATTTCTTTCTGAGAGACTGAAGTTTCACATTCTTCACTGATGCGTCACCATTGTAACATCTGACCAGTGTGTCCCACACAGCCTTTGTTGTTTCAGAATCAGCAATCTTCTCAAACACGTTCGTATCCACACATTGATGGATGTAGAACAACGCCTTCTGATCTTTCTTCCTTAGCGCCCTCTGTGTTATCTTCTGTGCCTCTGTTGCGTCTACTTCTAACAGATCGTAGCCATCGGTGACAAGATCTAACACATCTTGAGAACCAAACAACACGCGCATCTAGATCTTCCAACGATTCCAGTTTTTGCCATCAAATACTGGAAGCTTGGAATGGATATCCTCCCATTTCGTTCATCTTCTAACTTATGCAATTTATGCAGAAACTCAATAACGCAATGTTTCCCAAATTCCCGTAATCATAAACAACGATTATGAATCACAAAGCACCTCACTGTTCTTTCGTATTTCCCCGTGGATTTCTAACCGGAGCTCTAGATACCAATTGTTGGTGCATAAAGAAGAGATGAAAGCCAAAAGGAATATATTAAATGACGGCTACAAAAATAAGGAATAATGATTTACAATAAATTATATTGAGCTACCTCATTAGGCTATTTATACACAAAATAAAATCCTAAATATCCTCTAACAAAGATATAAAAAGATATAATAATATCCTTTAAAAGGATATTCCTAAAATATAGATTAAATCTAACACATTTTATATTAACTGTAAACTGCGTCTACGACTACGGTATTTTCAAATTCCGACAAGGCTCAATGAGAATTCAAAATATTTCCACAATCCATAAAATAAAAAAAACACATACGAACTACAAATTTGGACTATGATTCTTCGTAAGGAGATATGTAGGCACGCAGTTAAAACTAAGATGAGTTCACAACTAAAAAAATTAAATCTTTTTCTTAAACGTATAGAAACATTTACTACCAAATTTCTATTTTATCCTTAGACCTAGAAGTGGAGCCCCTTGAAAACAAATGAGATGAAGGGTGTTTAACACCTTCCCTTCGTCTAATTGACTTATGAATTTAGAATCTCTATACGAATTAGGGTTATCTGTTATTTCCTAATCCTTTAGATAAAAATTAATAGTGACAACTCTCATATTTTTTGACAATTATGACATGAATTGAATGTCAAATGCATTTGAAAGAGAGTTGAAGAAGAAATATTTGGAATTTGATTTATCGAAGGAAGTTGATGCTGTGAGAACTTGACATAATGTATTGTTATGGTTTTCTTATTTATAATTTTTGTTTTCAAGTTTTCAACATAAACACGTAACAAATCTAAACAAAAGCAGATAAATTAACAAAAGAGTCAAATGGTCTGACGGTAAAGTACTTCACTATCCATGAAAGTGACATTGGTAAAATATCATTTTTGATTCCGTATATTAATTTTAGGGTTCATTTTAGTCTTTTAACTTAAATTTTTTTTTCATATTCGTCTCTTAACTCTTCAAAACATTTTATTTTAGTTTTTTTTGTCTAATTAGCAGTGAATTTAACAATCTTCTGAATTTTTCCGTCGTTAATTAGATAAAAAGACTAAAATGAAGCGTTTTGAAGAGTTAAGAGACAAATATGAATATTTTTTAAGTTAAAGGATCAAAATAAACCTTAACATTAACATACGAGACAAAAAAATATTTTTTTCATTTCTCTTTTTAATTATTTTTATTAAACTTAAATTTATTAATATTTTATTTTTCATAAAATTTCTCTCGTTTTATTATTCAAACTATAAATAAAATTTGCTGTTGTTGTTTCACTTCCTTTTGAAAAATTCTTAGGTAGACACAATTAAAACACATGGCTTTACACACGGCCAATTATAATATTTTATTAATTAAAAAATAAATAAATATTTTTTCTCTCTTTTCATATCATAATCACCTGATGAATCTAATTAAAATAGAAATTTAAATTTAAATAAATTTTGAATTCTCTTTCTTCTTATTAGTTGTTTTTTAAAAATATAGTTATAGGACAGTATCCATGTAAGATTCTTCCTTCCTTTAATGGTTTGAAAAATAAACTTTTATTGGTTGGTGATGTTGAGTGTGTATGCGTAATTGCATAAAATTGAAGAAAAAATTTCTAATTTTATTTATTCTTTTGAAAATTGTGTAAATTACTGTAGTATTAATTACAATTATATTATATTTTTTTTTAAATGTGAAAGTGATGATCGTTATAACATCATTATCTACAATAACAAAAATTAGCATTGTGTGGCAGTCAATATGAAGTCGTTATTTTAAATTTTAAACTTTGTGAAAAACCCTATTTTCATTATTTTTTAGTTAATTGTGAAAAATAATTAAAAAAATACAATTAAAAAAATGAATTTGTAATTAGACATGAAAATATTTCTCAACTATTAAATAGTTACCATAAATAATTATATTTAACTAATTTATTTTCTTTTCTCCATAATATTACTAATACTAACATTCAATTTTAAATACATATTATATTAGTACAAGTGGGTTGAGAGCATAAATTGACATTATCTATTAATTAATCAATTAATTAATTAATTAATTAATACAAGTTTGTACTATGAATTAAAATATTTAAACGTTATTAAGTTTTAATTTCAGGATTTGTTGTTATCCTTTACCTAAAAAATAGATTTGATTTATAAAAATCTATTTTCTCTATAGTTTGTTAGATGCCTATTGTGTGGGCATCTTTTTCGCCATTATAATTAAATGAATCAAGTTTAAGATTTATTTTTGTTTTTAAAATATCAAATTTTAAGGCTTTTACTTTTACTATATAAATAACGTAAACTGTTTTAGCAATTAAATAAATCTCATAATATAAACACAATAGCTTCATCCATGGAACTCAACTTTTCTCTAAATATGTTTTCTACTCAAGATCAAACCATTACAACTCCACCCGATGATTTTTCAAGTGGTGATTTTTACATTCATTTTCATTTGATCAATGTAAATTTGCCCTCTCAAACTAATGTTACAAATTCAATCGATGACTTTACAACCACCATTATTAATCAGAATTTTTGGATTTCTAGTAACAACTTATGTAGTTGTAATCACACAACAGTCTTGGACGAAGATAACAATATCTCTTTATATGATTCTTTTTCCACTCTGCCTATTCCACATTCTATATTAAGAACAATTCTTCCTGCCATTGGAGCTGGTGCTAGGCAAATGCGTGCAGAAAACAATGAAGGTCGCGATGTATTAGAGATGCATGTGACACTTTGTTTGACCACACAACCTATTCAAATGGATATGGTTCAAGAATCTCATCCACATGTGTGTGCAGCATCTCAACTCATTGTGGATCGATTAGAGAAAGTTACAATGCACCCCACTTCAGATTATTCCACAAAACAATGTTCAATTTGTTTGGAAGAGCTCTCAAATGAATTTAAATCAGAACTTATTAAGACAAAGTGCTTTCATATCTTTCATAAAGATTGCATTTTTCAATGGTTCAAGAAATGCACTATTCGTCAATTGGCTTATTCATGTCCATTATGTCGTTGTAATTGTGAAATTATTTGAATAATATTTGTTGACTTTCTTTTCTGGAAATATCACATAAGTTTTATGTTTTTGACTATTAAATTATGTTTGATTTGGTTTCTAAATATTTGATATCATTTATTTTAAGTCTTATAAATAACATGTCATAAAAAAATCATTTAGAATATGTAATATGAATTTTTGTATAAAATATTTTGTCATGAAACATTAATTTTTTCATGAGTTTATTTTTGAGAGTTTGTAGATTTTTTTATGAACTATTTAAATAGGTTAAAGTTTGGACCTTTTCATTACTTATTTTTCAATTTTACCTCTGTCGACTAAATTTTAAAATAAAATAACTATTATTAAACATTTTTATGTCATTTTAGAGTTTAATTAAGTTAAAAGACCTCATCCCTTGAAATTTTGTGTCTTAGTAATTAGTATTTCAAATCACGATTGTTCTAAATTTTAAAGCCATTTCAAAAGCAAAGTTTCACAACAAGAAAATCTTCTATTAACTACGGCAAATACACTTGGAGATTTATTCGAGATTAACTACAAAATATGAAGTAGTATGGATTGAGTGGCTAATTATCTTGGCAAAATTTTCTTAGTAAAGTTCTAACTAATATTAAAAAATTCCTAGTTAAACGACAACAATACTGTAGCAAATTATCAAAGTTGAATTTATATTTTTTAATTTGTTAGTGCATGAAATATTTTTAGTGGGGAGAGAAAGAGAGAATAATAAAGGAAATAAAGATTCTATTATTCACTTAATAAATTATAATGTACAAAATAAACCTATATACTATAATTATTTATATACAATCCTAATTGAATTTGGACTAAATATTAAATCTAATCCAATCTAATCTAATATAACAAGTCTATTTTAATATTTAACACACTCCCATAATCCAAATTGTCTAGTCATAGTCGATCTAAACTAATCCTAATTTCTTTCTCAAGTTCAAGAATATATCGATCTTAAATCATTTGGTGAAAATGTCGATTAACTGTGCTTCACTTGAGCAATGCCTAACTTCAAGTTCACCTCGATTTACCTTTTCTCTCAAGAAGTGAAACCTAACTTCGATATGTTTACTTCTTCCATGCAAAACTGGATTCTTCGTCAGATTTATGGTTGACTTGTTGTCGATTTGCAACACTAGAGGTTTCTTCACTTCGACCTCCATTTCTTCAAGTACAGATATGATGCAAATTGCTTGACACGCAATATAGGATCTCGCTATATATTCAGTTTCACACGATAACAATGCCACCACAGGTTGCTTCTTCGAACACCATGAGAGTGGGACACCAAATACATGAAAAAAATATCTAATTGTGCTTCTTCGATCTTCCTTATCTCCACACAAATCAGCATCTGAAAAGCAATTAACTATTGCTTCTTTGTCTTCAAAATCTCGTCGAAATATTATTTCATAGTTTATCGAACCCTTCAAATATCTCAGGTTCTTCTTGCAGCCTTCATATGTGACACTTTTGATTCACTTATATATCTGTTTACTAATCTGACAGTATAACCTATATCAGGTCGACTGTTGCACACATAACTCAGAGATCCCACAATTTGCTTGAACAAAGTTACATCGATTTTTTCTTCCTCTCCATTCTTTTCCAATTTCACATTTGGTTCGACAGTATAACCTATATCAGGTCGACTGTTGCACACATACCTCAGAGATCCCACAATTTGCTTGAACAAAGTTACATCGATTTTTTCTTCCTCTCCATTCTTTTCCAATTTCACATTTGGTTCGACAGGTGAGGATACAGGATTCGAATCATCTGTTCTGAATCTCTTGAATATTTATTTGACATACTTCTTTTTATGTAGCACCGTACCTTGCTTCGACATTTCAAATTACATGCCTAGGCAATAAGACAATTTTCCCAGATCCGACATTTCAAATTCCTTCATCATCAGTTCTTTAAATTTCGACAAGCTCTCCAAACTGTTTCCAGTTATTAGCAAGTCATCGACATATAAACAGATGATTGTTATATCTTGTGCTACAACCTGAAGATAGACACCATACTCAGATTTACATTTGATAAATCCCAATTCGACTAAGTATGAATCGATCTTCTTGTTCCATACTCTAGGTGCTTGCTTGAGATCATAGAGCACTTTGTACAACTTATATACTTTACTCGCTTCCTTCTGAATCACAAACCCTAGAGGTTGTGTGACATAGACCTCTTCGTCTAAAGGACCATTCAGAAATGATGATTTCACATCTAAATGAAATATCGACCAGCTTTGGTTGCATGCCAATGCTACCACTAGTCGAACAGTCTCTAATCTTGCTACTGGAGTAAATACTTCAGAGTAGTCGAGTCTTGCTCTTTGAAGAAAACCTTAAGCTACTAATCTTGCTTTATGTCTTGCTATCAAACCATCAACATTGTGTTTCAACTTGAACATCCACTTCACTTCGATAACTTTTATATATGTTGACAATTCAACTAACTGACATGTATTGTTTCTTTCTATTGTATGTAACTCTTTGACCATATCTAACTTCCACTATTTAATTTTTCAAAGCTTCGTTATGGTTGATTGGTTCAGCACCTGCAAGTAAAGCAAAATGAATTAATTATTCATCTGGTGTGACTTCATCATCACCTACTACCTCATAATCACAAAGTCTTGTTCGAAGAACACTATTTCTTTGAGGTCTTTGGCTTGTTTCAGCCACAACCTCTTCAACTTCGATTGTTTCTGGAATGTCAACAATTGCTTCTACTTCGACTTCGACTGGATTCTCAGCAATTCCTTCGACTTCGACTTCATCAGTTTCTTCGTCAAAATTGAAGCTCATCAATGTCTTGTTAATTGAATCACTAGAATTCCAATCCCAGGCAGAATTTCCATCAATCACAATATCTCGACTTAACACAAACTTCTCATTAATTGGATTGAATAGTATGTATGCATCAGTCTTGTGATATCCTACAAGAATCATATGTTCACTCTTGTCATCGAGCTTCCTTCTTCTCACATCAGGAACATGTTTGTAACATATTGAGCCAAACACCTTAAAATGACTCATTAATGGTCGTATGACACTCCATACTTCTTCAGGAATCTTGTTCTTCAATATTTTGGTAGGACACCTGTTCAGGATATAAATTACAGTTGAAACAGCTTCACCCCATAAACATTTTGGCAAATTCTTTTGCTTCAGCATGCATCTCACCATATCCAATATGGTTATGTTTCTTCTTTCTGCAATTTCATTATGTTTAGGCGTATAAGGAGCAGTTACCTCATGATCAACCATGTTTTGTATATAATTTTTCAAACATCTTCGAAGTGTATTCGCCACCTCCATCTGTTCTCAGAATTTTGATCCTCTTCTCACTTTGATTTTCGACAAGCATCTTGAATCTCTTAAAGATATCAAATATTTCGTCTTTTCTCTTGATCACATAGACCACAACTTTGTACCAATGCTCCTAGTAAACTCCCCCCAACAAGGAGGTGGAGCATTGTGGACTCACACTTGAGAGAGTGTTAGAATAATAATACAAGTGTAAGTAAATGGAGAAATAGTCTCACATTAGATAGGAATGTGGAGACTTAGAGCATATATAAGTGAGAAAATTCATTCACCTATCACCTTAAAGTTTTAGGTGGTAAGTGGTATATCTATCACAAAAGTGCATAATCATCAACTTTGTATCAATGTTCCTAGTGAACTCCATCCAACAACTACAATGTGTCTACGAAAATATCATAACAAATCTCAAGCTAAAATATTTGAACAATTTTACAACTATTTCTTATTTTGATATTGTAATAAAGGCTCCCAAGGGATTTCAAACCTGGGACATCTTACCTATAAGACTAATACCTTTTCACCAAACCACTTATGTTACTTGTTAAATATTTGCCATGCATTTGAATATATTGAATGTTAACTTTAAATATTTTAGTGTAGTAGTAGCAATGTTAACTATTAAATATTGACTTATTATAGTCTTTAATTCTGTAATAATAATAATAATAATGTTAATAGATGAAATATTTAATAAATTAAAATAAATAATTCTACTATTAATATTTTAACTATAAATATTTTAATTATTAAAACAAAATATTTTAATTATATTTAACATTATTATTTAATTATATTTAGCATTACTATTATAAAATGAAATTAAATTAAAATTAAAATATAATATAATTTAATTAACAATATACAGTAAAATATGTTATATATGAAATAATCATTTAATAATATTTCAACTATTTAATATTTCTACTAATAATATTTCAACTATTAATGTTTCTACTAATAATATTTCAACTATTAATATTTCAACTTTTTAGCTTATTAAATATTTAACCTATTAATGTTTCAACCATAAATAAATTGTTAGAAGTTTCAACTATATTTAATAATTATTTAATCTTTGATCAAATAAGTAATCATTAATAGTAAAATATTAATTAATTTATTAACAATTAATAATTTAAATATTAAATAAATTAATAAATATTAACAATTGAAATATTAAATAGTTAAAATGATTATTATAATATAATATGAAATGATTATTATGAAATGAAATTATGAAAATAAAATATAATTATTAAAATGAAATATATTATGAAATGTTAAGAAATTTATTAAATACTGAAACTTATATGGAATATATATATTATTCATTGTAACAAATAAACAAAAGCTAAGCTTGGTCCGGTGCATAGGGATTATTGTGTGATTGCAAAGGAAATGGGTTCAGCACTTGATACTCCTAATTAGGGATGGTAAAAAAATCCGTATCCGCGGATAAAATCCGTTACGCATATGAAATGGATAACTTAATGAATATCCGTAGATAAAATAAACGGATATTTAGATACCCGCTATTTAATGGATATGGATACAGATTTAATAATATTCGTATCCGTTAATTAATTATAAAAAATTATTTAAATATTTATATATTTTACTAAGTCTTATCATCTTCTAAAAGAATTTAATTTTTTTTTTTTACGTTTTCTTTAAAAAAAATTATATTCCATAAATTTTTGTTACAATGATTACTTATAAAAAATTAGTTTATTTTTGAAGTAAGACTTGTTTTGGTTATAACATTGGAGATGCAATCCTTGTACTGCCTTTTTATGATTTATTACAAGTTAATGTTAAATTTTGGATTAATTTTGCCTTTTTATGATTTATTACAAGTTAATGTTAAATTTTGGATTAATTTTTAGACTATTGTACCTTTTTATAGCATAGTTAGTGTTAACACTTAGAAAAATTATAATTATTTAGAATTTGAATATCAATTTCGTACTGCAAGTTTTGTTTAACTATAACAATTCATTGCTTCTTAAAAAAATTATAATCACTTAGAGTTTAACTTATTCTTTTTCTTTTTTCAGGTTATACAAAATCAAAAGCCAAAGTCATTGAAATTAATTTAGTATTGAAAGATATGGATCATGACATTGTTAGTGAAATGTTAAAGATTTCATTTTAAATATTATTATTATGTTAATTATTTAGATTTTTATGATTTTATTTCAGGAGCTAGGAAATCAAAGTGGAATTGTTGAAACAAGGAATGCATAATATGAAATTTTACAATGATTGATCTGCATCATTACTTTTTATTTTGTTTGGAACAATTATTATATGCTATGATGAATATTGTTTTGGTAAAAAATTATGGATATTCTATACGAATGTTATTATGTTTTGGTAAAAAAGACAAATATTAATATGATAAAATTTTGTTATTAAATTGTGACTAAATTGTATAAATCTTATATGATAATAATTTTTTTGTGTCTTTAAAAAAAACTGAAAAAATATTTTTTTTAAAAATAATTTTAAAATAAAATGTTATCCACGGATATCTGTAAATATCCGCGAGTATCTTAAAACCCGTGGATTACCCGCTTAATAGATATCCGCATGGATATGAGATGGATATAGATATCATATTTATCCAACGGAATGGACACGGATATCATATTATCCATCCCCATGGATATCCATTTACATCCCTACTCCTAATAAACACATACGAAGAATATAATAATTTTGTAACCTACATTCATGGAGAACATTATACATTTAATTTCTAAATTTTAATAACTTACAATCGTTGAGAGACGTATTCTCCATATTTTTTCTTTTTCTTATGAACACGGGTATAAACATCTCTAAACGAAACTTTATGTTTCAACTCCTCCTGCAATTCACATTTAAAAGGTGAGTGAAAGAAAAAAGTCAAAGACATGAAACCAATCATGTGTTATATAGTACTTTACATAATAGTTATCTCAAATAAACAATATTGCTAACAATAACAAAACCCTTCATAAACCACAATTTACACCATATTTATCTCAAACAAACAATACTTTAGACAATATCCATCTTTGATATAATTTGATCACTTTAGTTGTATCACCTAATTCACATAGCATCTCATTACACCAAAAATCAAATAATGCAATATAAAAATCTAATACCGATTTGCCCCTTCACTGCTTTTTTTCCGATCCAAAGCCAATTTTCCGATAGTAATCTTACACAAAAACAAGAATGGTATTAAATATCCGAATCTCGTCCCACTAATATACCTCGCAAAGGTGAAGGGTGAAGTTGATTGTGACCACTCCCTTGACTCCGTCTAGTTCCTCTACCTCGGATTGTCATATTAAGATATCTAAAAAAAAATTGATCTTACTATTGTTAACAAGTGAAAAAAGTTAATATGAAAACATGAATTTGATGAAAAATAAATATAACATGAAACAACAAATAGTTACACCAGTAAATCAACAATTGCACAAAGACAAATAATTACACAATATGAATATAGAGAAAAATTAGCTCCTCTCTTAATATCATTAAATTATTCTAAATCAAAATATGAAAAATGAAGAAAACTAATTGAGTAAAATAATTTCAATCTATTGGCCACAAAAAGAAACATAAGGCACTGTAACTGTATAATAGTAGAAAACAATAGAATAAATCGACCATACAATTAACCCTCTTATTTGAAAAGGGTAAACTTACAAACTACTATTTGAATATGAGTCATATGATTCTTCATCTTCATCTAAGAATTCTTCATTTTCACTAGAATGATTCTCATTTATGAATTTATTAGTAAATGGAACTTTTGTTGGCATATACATCATTTATGTCCACTTCTTCCATTGGGGAATTGGTATCAAATAAGAAAATGTCTTCCTCTTTTATGACAACGTTGTTTGCTTCAAAGGATCCATCATCTTGGTAATAATCATGAGCATCCATTTTACAAAGAGGATATCAAATACTAAAATCATTTGTTTGTTCAATTAGTTATATTTTTAGTTGATTATCAAAAGTTACTTTTATATTTCTCTTACATGTAGAGGACTCGAAATTGATTCATACATACACACACAATATTAAATTCGGCAGTCTCCTAGTCTCCTACTAACTGTGTTATTGAGATTAAAAAAATTATGCTAACATCTAAGACATTATTATGATGTAAAATGTTATTTTATAACTAAAGTAAGTGTACCCTTTTGTACTGAAAGAAATCAAGAATAGTAAGCTTATTGACTATGTTCCAAAAATTATTTCTCTAAAATAATTTCATAAGGTTCGGTAAACTTGAACTCTGTTACTTGAAGTTTTAACTATAGAAAACCTCATAGTGAATTTAACAACCTTTACTAGTCCAAAAGTGCAATATCACATTAGAAACCGTTGAGAGTAAAAGGAATCTTCCACCTTACAATACAACAAAAGTTCATATGATTCCATAGTATCATAAAATTATCTATTTGGACTTGGGATCTATTTCAAGACTATATATATTTTGGATGAACTTTCAAATTCTCAAGACTATAGCTATATACACACACACTAAAATAGCTTATACACACATTATAATAGCTAGCATAGACACAACATACAACTATTCTATAGCATGGAAAGTTCTTTGTCACGCCTGTTTACATTTGAATTCTCATTTCTCACTTAGAAGTGTTATAATTCAGGTTTTGAATCCATAGTAAAAATGATTTAGCATTGATAAAGTAGTTTATCTTTCCAAAAAGAGGAAAAATTTTGTGGTTCTGCTTCTTTATTATCAGTAAATAATATCACAATTCACAAGTTCAACATTTACATATTTGCATCTAAGCAACATGAGAATATTCATACATCTATTGACATTATAGCATTCATATGGAGAAATTAATGATAATTACATCTGAAAAAATTTAAAATCAACATCAACTAACCTTAAAATCAATCGGAGAAAATGTACCGTAGCGAAGATCGGAAAGAGATTCCGCAACAAGGATCTGTTATGACAGAAATCGTGTGAAACGGAGAAAGAGATTCTTCACATAAATTTTACTACATTGAATGAGTGATTTTGTGAGAATTTATTCAAGAAAAAACAATTACCTCAAGTATTAGGTTTTGAGAAATCCGTGAGCGATTTCGAATGGTAAAGTAACTAATTCGAAAGTTGAAGCAGCGATTTCCAACGAAGAGAACGTTGAAGCAGAGATTTCCAACGGTGAAAGAGAAGTAGAAATTTCGATCGATGAAGGGGAAGCCGCGATTTTGATCGATGACGGAGAAATAGGGATAACAATCGATGACTGAGAAATTGTGATTTCAATTGATGAAGGAGAAGCGGCGGTTTCGATGACGGAGAAACAGCGATTTTGATCGGAGAAATAGCGACTTTGATGAAGAAAAATGATTCTGCGGTGGAGAAAAAGTGATTTTACAGTGAAAAGTGATTTCGATTGATGAAGTTACAGTGAAAAGTGATTTCGATTGATGAAGGAAAAGTGATTCGGTGAAAAGGGTTTTACGTGAGTTTTTCGTTGAGGTTTTTTTTCTGTTAAAAGTAATTTTTTTAAAGTGAATAATATATTTAAAAAAATTACTGTACTAATGTTATTTAATGTTTTTCATTTTCACTTGAGTTGTGTAAGTATTTTATGTGAGTATTTTCAAAGGCCAAACAGTGGTTGTTTCATTAAATCATGTTAAGAAACAAAATGATAACAACGTATTATTTGGGAAAAATCTACAGACTTGAGAGGGATTTATTTTCATGAGTAACATTGGAATTAAAATTGGTCAGCATGCAAAGACAATTTTATTCTCACATTCATTCTCAATATTATAACATTTGCCTAACATAAATTCATTACTTCCATGAAAGAAAAAGCCAGCATCAATAACTTGTTCTGGACTGGGCTCGACAGGCCCAAAAGCATTACTAAGACCCAGTCCAAAGGGACTCTCTAAGGACCACACTGGGCAAAGGGGGTCACGTCCATGCCCGACACCATGATGTCCACCTCGACATCCCGATGTCCAACCCACGCGGTGAAGTCGTGCTCGACACCCTGCCGTCAGCTCCATGTCCTGGCGTCCAGCTCGACACCCGCCGTCCAGCTCGAGGTCCTGACGTCGAGCTCAGCACCGTACTGCCCAGCTCGACATGGGCCCGAGCTACCCGGCTAGGGCAGACTCAGTCCACCGTTCCCCCAACGATACTCCGGAAAGACCGCGTCTCCGTCCGCCCGCACTTCACGCAGCACATCCAGGAAGGGGACCACGTGCGGGTCCCCACTACCCACGTAGAACCTGGCAGTTCCTCCATTGGGCCAAATCCGCCCAGCCCAACGAAGGAACCTTGGCCCAGCGCTGGGGGCTATAAATACCCTCTGTTTCCAGAGGGTCAGGTATTCATCATTCTAACCTCAACTCTATTATCTGCTCGTACTCCCACTGACTTTAGCATCGGAGTGCCTTGCAGGTACCCCCCCCCCCCCCCCCTCCTCGCTCAAAAAGCTTTCAGCTTGGAGCAAGCCGTGACGGTCCAAACCTTCTGATCAGGTCAGATCAGTGGCGCCGTCTGTGGGAAGCAGCTTCCCCGTCTAACGAACAATTCCAAAGACCAAAGCTCAATTCAATTACCTGTCATGGCTGATCCAGCTCGTGAAGAACAGCACACCCGCGTCACCGACACCAACAACGGTCCCGCGGACAAGAATGGACACCTCGACAATCTCGGTGATCCCGGCCGCAATGCCACCCCTGCGACAACCGCCCCTGGACCTTCCACCCGCAGGGACGGGAACACTGCGTCTTCCTCGACGACCCCTCCAGCACTCGAAGACGACCCGGAAGCTCTCGCCTACCGCCGAGCTGCCCGGTTCTATGAAGTCCAAGTCCCTGCCGGGGCAGATGCCACGACTCAGGCACTGTTCGCGGCCATCAACCAAACAAATTATCTTCTATTTACCCAAGGAGAAAGACTAAGGGCACTTGAAAATGATCGACGACCACCGAGGAGGCATCAGAGGCCACCATCTCCACCTCCTCGGGTCGAAGAAGTTCGACACCCTACTCCCCCGCGGAGACATTACAGGGAGAACTCTAGGAGCCCCTCTCCCCCACCAAGGCAGAGGCGGCCCCAATATGAAAGACAGCCCGTCATCCCTACCGAAGAACCCAGTCGCGACCCATCAAGGCACAACAGGAGGCACAACAGAGACGGGCGTGTGACCTTCAACCATCGAGCATCACGCTCGAGGGAATCTCAGCACGACCATCGTGCCCGACATAACTACAGGACCCCTTCTCTTTCCCCAGAAAGGAGCGACGAGGACGACCCCCGCGGTCCCCTGTCGCAGGCCATCATGGACGCACCTATTCCCCCGGGCATGGAGAAGCCCCCACATCTGAAGGAGTATGATGGAGTAGCGGACCCAGTCGACCACATTGACGGGTTCGAAGCCATGCTCCACTATCACAATGTCGGAGGGCCCATCAAGTGTCGTCTCTTCCCCACAACTCTCAGGAAGGCGGCCATGGACTGGTATAAAAGACTCGCCCCGGGCTCCATCACCTCGTGGCGGAACCTGAAGAACCAGTTCATCAGTTCCTTCACAGCTTCTCGGCGCCACCCGAAGACCGAGGCAGCCCTCGAGGCCATCATCCAAAGACATGATGAGACCTTGAGGGAATTCATCAACCGCTTCAACCGGGAAGCAATACAGGTCCCCTGCGCGGACCATATGAAAAGGTACTTGCTGGAGAGGGGCCTCCTCCCCGGCACAGAATTCAGGAAAGCTGTGGGCATTGAGCCACCTGCAACTTTTGATGCTCTCCTCGACAAAGCCCGAGCATACATGGACTACGAGGAGAGAGAAGCTTCCAACAGGGCACGAGACTCCAGGGCTCGCAATCATGGCAGCAGCTCGAGACAAGACCCTCATCCCCGACGGACCGGAGAGAAAAGGAAGGAAGACCGACCCCGGGAGGTCCGGGAACAAAGGGGCCCCTCGGGCCGTTTCACCGAGTACACTCCGCTCACGGCTTCCCGCGAGCGTATTCTGGCGGAGTGTGCTAGCACAGATTTTAAAGACGGTGGCGTCAAGCGTCCCCGGCCAGCTCCTGCCAAGCCAGGAGTAGACAAAAACAAGTACTGTCAGTATCATAGGAGTCATGGTCACTTGACAGAGGACTGCGTCCACCTGAAGGACGCCATCGAAACCCTCATCAAAGGAGGGAGGCTTGCACAATACAGGCGAAACGACGCTCCCCGTCGTGACGCCCGCGAGGCAAAGGAGCCCGAAGAAGATGCCCGACCATCTGACGAGTCGGTGCCAATCCAGACCGCCTTCTCGGTAACCAGGCCCGAGGATTTCGAACTTCCCGAGCTCCTGCAGGAGCCCCTGACGACACACAGCAGGTGGGAATACTTCCCCTCCGCCATGGTCATCAACGGGGGCGGGTTCAACGACCTCACCATCAACTCAGCCAAGAGGAAGTTGGACGAACTGGTCGACGCAGCTCCTCCACAAACTGTGACTTTCGAAATGGTGAAGGGCAGATCAGAGCCCATCACTTTCTACTTGGAAGAGCTCCCCGGCGGAGCATCGAACGCAGTCATCCCCTTGCTGATAAGGGCAAAGATGGCCAATTTTGACGTGCATCGCATCCTGGTCGACGAAGGGAGTTCCGTCGACGTGATGTACACCCAGCTGTTCCGGACCTTACAACTGGACGACTCACATCTGTCTCCGTATATAGGTTCGGACCTTCAAGGCTTCAACGGCTCGACTTCCAAACCTTGGGGATATGTCGAGCTCCTCGTGACGTTCGGGGAAGGAACTGCTACAAGACAGGTGAAGGTCCACTTCCTCGTCATTGACTGCCCGTCCCTATACAATTGCATCTTGGGGAGGCCGACATTGGCGGAGCTGACAGCGGTTCCCTCAACTGTCCATCTAAAAATGAAGTTCTATACCAAAAGGGCAAGGGTAGCCACCATCCAGGGCGACCTCGCTGCTGCCCGCAGGTGCTTCAACGCCGCTTCAAGGGGACGGGATACCGTCGACGTGGGTACGAGCACCAGACCCATCAAGAAGACAAAGCAAGAGCCCGACAGAGCATCTCCCGAGGTAGAAGTTCAGAAGGCTCCACCAAAGGTCGACTCCATAGCTCTCGACGCCCGCTTCGACCAAGACGAGCCACCCAGCAGCGAGCAAATCCCCCTCCAACCTATTCCGGACGGCGATTTCGAACTCGTTCCCCTCGGAGCAGACCCGACCAAGGGAGTGAAGATTGGCAAGGACCTCCCCGACTTGGCCAGGAAGCAAATCAAGGCCTGTCTGCGCGAGAATGCTGATCTCTTCGCCTGGAGCGCTGCAGAGATGCCCGGACTCGACCCTGAGGTCGCCTGTCATCACCTCGCCATTGATCCAGCCGCCAAGGCCATAGTACAACGTAGGCGTAGGCAGTCTCCAGAAAAAACAGAGGCTGCTGAAAAAGCTGTAAAAGACCTCTTAGAGGCAAATTTTATTTCTGAAGCCCGGTACTCCACCTGGCTGTCAAATGTTGTACTTGTTAAAAAGAATAATGGAAAATGGAGAATGTGTGTTGACTATACCGACCTCAACCAGGCTTGCCCGAAGGATGCTTTTCCTCTACCTAACATTGACATGCTGGTCGACAATTCGGCCGGCTACAAGACTTTGTCGTTCATGGACGCCTACTCGGGATACAATCAAATCCCAATGGCCCTGGGCGACAAACGCTGCACGGCGTTCATGACCAGCTCGGGCAACTATTACTACAACGTAATGCCCTTCGGACTAAAGAACGCCGGCGCGACGTACCAACGCATGATGAACAAAGTGTTCAACAAACAGATCGGCGACATGCTCGAGGTATATATGGACGACATGATCGTCAAATCTCGAGCAGATACCGATCACGCAGCTCACCTCAAAACAGTCTTCGCACAAGCAAGACAGTGCAAAATGAGGTTCAACCCCGAGAAGTGCACATTTGGGGTTAAGGCAGGAAAATTCCTCGGATTCTATCTGACAGAACGAGGGATTGAAGCCAACCCCGACAAGTGTCGAGCATTCGCCGACCTCCCGACTCCAACGTCGAAGAAGTCGATACAGATCATGAACGGCATGTTGACGTCACTATCACGCTTCGTCGCGAAGTCCGCGCAGCACGCCCTTCCCTTTTTCAAACTCCTTCGAAAGGAAGCAGCCTTCGAATGGACCGAGGAGTGCGAGCACGCACTTCGCCATCTGAAGCAGAGCCTGTCTCAACCGCCCGTGCTGTCCCGACCAGCTGACGACGAGCCACTATACCTATACTTGGCAGTTTCAAACGAAGCCATCAGTGCAGCTCTTGTCCGCGAGACTCCTAACGGGCAGAAACCTGTCTACTTCACGAGCAAAGCCTTACAAGGCCCCGAGAGCAGGTATCAACAGATAGAAAAGGTTGCTCTGGCACTCGTCAACGCTGCGAGGAGGCTCAGACACTACTTTCTAGCGCACACCATCATCGTGCGAACCGATCAACCGGTGAGGCAACTCCTGGGTCGGCCAGATATGGCGGGCAGAATGCTGAAGTGGTCCCTGGAACTCTCTGAATTCGACATTCAGTACGAGAGCAGGAAAGCTCTGAAAGCACAAGCCTTGGCCGACTTCGTCGCCGAGATGACCAGTAACGACATCCCCCCGGGAAAGGAACACAAATGGACCATCTTCGTCGACGGAGCCTCCAGCTCATCCGGAAGCGGCGCAGGGATCCTCCTGGAAAACGAAGAAGGGGTGGTAATCGAGCACTCCCTGGTTCTCTCCTTCCCGACATCAAATAACCAGGCAGAATACGAAGCCATGCTCGCAGGACTGAGATTAGCCGAGGACCTAGGAGCCCGCGAAGTTCAAATTTACACCGACTCCCAGCTCGTCGCTTCCCAAGTACAAGGAAGCTACCAGGCCAAGAATGACAACCTCATTGAGTACTTGAACTTAGTCAAAAAACACATGGCAAAGTTCGTACGAGCAGAAATCTCTCATGTTCCCCGCGAGCAAAACACGAGGGCGGACATATTGTCCAAACTCGCGAGCACACGAAAGAAAGGCGGGAATAAATCTGTCATCCAGGAATCTCTGGCACGTCCGAGCATCGAGCCACCCTCGACTACGGTCGAGGTCCACGCCATCGGGGATGCCACGTCTTGGATGACCCCGGTTTATAATTTCCTAACAAAGGGAGAACTCCCGTCGAACCAGGCCGATGCTGCCATAATCAAGCGACGAGCATGTTCCTACGTTGTTCTCGAGCAGAAACTGTATCGAAGAGGGTTCTCCATTCCCCTCCTGAAATGCATCGACGAGTCCGCCATTCCCGACGTACTGCGGGAGATACACGAAGGGATCAATGCCCAGCACATGGGCGGCAAATCCTTGGCAAGGAAAGCCCTTCGAGCAGGATACTACTGGCCGACGATGCAACAGGACGCCAAGGAACACGTGAAAAAATGTGACAAGTGCCAGAAGCACGGGGATATGCACCTCGCCCCCCCGCACGAGCTGAACACATTGTCGTCCCCATGGCCGTTCGCCTGGTGGGGCATGGACATCCTCGGCCCCTTCGTGCAAGGGACCT